TGAGAGCAGCCAGGATTGAGGCAGAGCCCCCCACGGACTCCCTCCCAGCACCCCCAAATCCCCCCCCCAATGCCCCAAATCACCCCCAAAGCCCTTCCCAGTGCCTCCCAGTGCCCCCAGTCCCTGTCCCAGCGGTCCGTACCCCATGAGCAGGTAGCTGAGAGCGGCCAGAGCGAGGCAGAGCCCTCTCTGGGCACGGGCCCGGCTCAGGAGCAGGGTGAGGACGCAGAGCCCGCTCAGCAGAGCCACCCACAGCGCCTGAGCCCCGAAGAAATGGTGCAGGGCCAGGAGCCCCCCGGCCGCCGAGCCCGCGTGCTTCCCCCCCCGCGGCAGGGCTGTGCATGGGGGGGGTCAGGGGGGCGCCCCAAAATCCTGGCAGCACCCCCGAAACCCCAAAACCCCCGCGTGACCCCTGCACCCCTCCCCAGACCCCCGAATCTTCCCCAGACTCACCCTTCGATCTCCCCTGAGCCCCTCCAGAGCCTGGGACCCGTCCCAGATCCCCGGGACCCCCCCAGCTCCTCCCGACCCCTCGGGCCCGCTCAGCCCGACCCCAAAACACCCAAACACCCCCGAGCCCCCCAAAGCCCCGGGACCCCCAAGACTCCCGGGTGTCCCCCCCACCCTCCGAGCCCTTCCCGGACCCCCGGCCCCTCACGGAGCCGCTGCAGCACCCGGGACCCTCCCGATGCCCCCGGCTCCCCCAGTCCCCAGGGAACCCCTGGATGTCCCCCCGACCCTCCGGCCTCCCCAGAGCCCCGCCAGCCCCTTGGGTGTCCCCCCACACCCCCCCCAAAAAACCCCCGTCCCCCCCTGTCCGGCCCCACTCACGCAGCCGGTGCAGCAGCCGCGCCCCGAGGCAGAGCAGCAGCAGCGGCCAGAGCTGGGCCAGGCCCTGGCGCGCCGTGGGCACCACGCAGCCGGGCAGCACCTGAGCCGCGAACTCTCGCGGAGGTAAGGCCGCCATCCCGACCCGAGCGGGGCTCGCTGCGTGCCGGGACCCCCCAAAAAACCCCAAATGCCCCCAAAACCCCCCCAAATCCCCCCGCCCGCGCCTCGCCCGGCGCCGCCGCCCGCCCGCCTGAGGGGAAAGGGGCGGGGCCCCTGCTCCCACCAATCAGCGCCCGCCGTTCCTCCCCGCGTTGCTGAGCTGACCAATCGGAGCGCGGCGCGGCCAAATGGCGGCGCGCGACGGGGCGGCCGTTGCCAAGGGCGGGGCGCGGTTGCCGGGGAGCGGGGGATGCCGGGGGGGCGGGGCCTGGTTTCCAAGGGGCGGGGCTATGTTGCTATGGGCGGGTCCTCGTTGCTGGGGAGCTGGGCCGTGTTGCTAGGGACGGGTTGTGTTGCTGGGGGCGGGGTCTGGTTGCTAGGGACCTGACCAGGTTGCTAGGGGCGCGGCCTGTTGCCAGGGAGCGCGTTGCTAGGGGCGGGGCCTAATTGCCTACAGCGGGGTGCGATTGGCTGTTGCTAGGGCTGGTTGTCAGGGGCGGGGCCTATCGCCATGGCAACCAGGTGCCCCGCGCCGACCTAACGGCACCAGTATGGACCAGTACATCGTGCTGGGCCGCATCGGGGAGGGCGCGCACGGCGTCGTGTTCAAGGCCAAACACCGCGAGGTGGGGCCGGGGAGAGCGGACTGTGGGGCCGGGGGGAGCGGTCCGTGGGGGGCCGGGGGCCGCGGGGACCCCCGGAGCCGCCCTGAGTCCCCCGTGTCCCCCCTCAGACCGGGGAGCTCGTGGCCCTCAAGAAAGTTCCCCTGCGGCGCCCCGAGGACGGGGTCCCCCCTCAGACCCTGCGCGAGATCAAGGCCCTGCGGGAGATCGAGGCCCACCCCCATGTGAGTGACCCCCGCCCCCTGGGGCACCCCAAAACTGTGCCCGGCTCCGTCCCTGTGTCCCCCCAGCCCATCTCAGTGCCCCCCCAGCGCAGTGCGGGGTCCCCCCTTCCCCCAAAATCCTGGGGTAACGCCTCCCAAACCGCCTTGCCCCCAGTTTCAGGGTTCCCCTTTCTTTGGGGTCCTCTGGGCCCCCACATTCCTCCCCAGTTTCGGGGTCCCCCTGACCCCCCCCGTGTCCCCCTCAGTTTCAATGTCCCCTCGGTGTCCCCTCCCTGCAGGCGAGCCAGCTCCAATCACGGTGTCCCCCCCAGGTGTCACTGACCTCAGTGTCACAAATGTTCTCGATGTCCCCACTGCTGTCCCCTCTGGGCATCCGGCTCCAACCCTGGTGTCCCCTCCAGCTGTCACTGACCCCAGTGTCCCCAGTGTCCCCACTGGTGTCCCCAGCCGTGTCCCCAGGTGTCACTGTCCCCGCAGGTGATCCGGCTCCGGGCCGTCTTTGCCCAGGGTCCCGCCGTGGTTCTGGCTCTGGAGCTGCTCGTGGGGGACCTGGGGGGGCTCCTGCGCGCGGCCCCCGCCCCGCTGCCCCCGGCCCGAGTGCGGGCCCTGCTCGCCATGACCCTGCGGGGGCTGGGCCACGTCCACCAGCAGCGCCTGCTGCACCGGGTGAGCCCCGAAAACGGGGGGGAACCCCAAAAACGGGGTGAGGGACCCCAAAAATGGGAGGGGTATCGGGAATGGGGGGCACCAACAGTTCCTGCTGCCCCGAGTGACCCCCAAAAACGGGAGGAGACCCCAAAAATGGAGGGGGGGAGGTATTGGGAATGGGGGGCACCAACACCACTTGCTGCAGCGAGTGAGGCACCCCGAAATAAGGAGAGACCCCAAAAATGGGAGGGAGCCCCCTGAAACTGAAGGGAGACCCTGGAATTGGGGAAAGGCACCAGCAGCACCTCCCACACCACGTGAGCACCCCAAAGCTGGGGAAGGGGCACGCAGGCAGTGAGGGGACCCCAAAATCGAGGGGAGATGTCTCAGACAGCTGCAGGACACCCCAAAACCAGCCTGGGCACCAAGACCTGAGAGCGACCCCAAAATCTGCAGGGGGGCCGCGGGTGCCGGGGTCACCCCAAAACTCGGGTGGGGACCCCCAGTCTGTGGGTGCAGCAGGACCCTGTTCCCAGTGTGGGTGGCACTGGGGGTAGCCCGAGTTTTGGGGCCCCCCCGAGCCCGGTTTTTGGGGTGCAGGACCTCAAGCCGGCCAATCTGCTGCTGGACAGCGCCGGGCGCCTCAAGCTGGCGGATTTTGGGCTGGCGCGGGTGCTGGGGCCCCCCCCGGGCCGCCCCTACAGCCACCAAGTGGCCACCAGGTACCGGATTTTGGGGTGTCCCCCTCCCCGGGATGTCGGGGTGTCCCCCCGAAAGCCGGGGACCCCCCCCTGACCCCCCTTTTGCAGGTGGTACCGAGCCCCCGAGCTGCTCTACGGCGCCCGGCACTACGACGAGGGCGTGGATTTGTGGTGAGTGCTCGCTTTTGGGGGGTCCCGCCTGGATTTTGGGGGGCCCCCCCCGGGATTTTGGGGTCCTTCCCAGGGTTTTGGGGTCCCCACTCACCCATTCTGCAGCGCTGTTTGATCTTGGGGTCCCCCTTTTGGGTTTTGTAGGTCCCCCCTATTCCTCCACGCTGTAATTCCAGGTCTCCCTTTAGTGCCTGGGTGTGTCCCCCTGGGATTTTGGGGAGTCCCCCTGGATTTTTGGGGGTCCCCCCGGGTTTTGGGGGTCTCTTCTGTTTGGTGCTGGGTGTTCTCCGTTTCTGGGTTTCTCTCCTGGATCTTTGGGTGCCTCCCAAACATCAGAGCCTCCCCCAGATTGGGAGGATCCTCTGGGATTTGGGGGATCCCTCTGGGATTTTGGGATCCGCTGAGATTCGGGGGGTCCCTCTGGGATTTTGGGATCCGCTGAGATTCGGGGGGTCCCTCTGGGATTTTGGGATCCGCTGAGATTCGGGGGGTCCCTCTGGGATTTTGGGGGAGTCCCTCCAGGATTCTGGGGGTCTCTTTGGGATTTGGGGATCCCCTGGGATTTGAGGGGTCCTTCTGGGACTCCGGGGGTTTCCTCTGGGATTTTGGGGATCTTTGGGGGTTTCCTCTGGGATTTTGGGGATCCCCTGGGATTTGGGGGTTTCCTCTGGGATTTTGGGGATCCCTTGGGACTCGGGGGGTCCCCCGGGGATTTGGGGGCCCCCCGAACCCGGGGGTCCCCAGGGCTGTGGGCTGTATTTTCGGGGAGCTGCTGACGCTGTCGCCGCTGTTCCCGGGCGAGAACGACATCGAGCAGCTGTGCTGTGTGCTCCGGGCACTGGGCACGCCCAGCCCGCGGGACTGGCCGGTACTGGGAGCACTGGGAGGCACTGGGAGGGACCGGGAGAGGGGCCGGAGGGCACTGGGGGCACTGGGAGGGACTGGGAGAGGGACTGAGGGGCACTGGGAAGGGGGCTGGAGGGCACTGGGAGCACTGGGAGAGCAGCTGGGGGGGCACTGAGAGCGACTGGGAGGGACTGGGAGCACTGGGAGAGGCACTGGGAGCACTGGGAGAGGGGGTGGAGGGCACTGGGAGGTACACTGGGAACTGGGAGCACTGGGAGGGACTGGGAGAGGGGCTGAGGGGCACTGGGAGCACTGGGAGGGGCTGAGGGGCACTGGGAGCACTGGGAGGACTGGGAGCACTGGGAAAGGGAGTGAAGGGCACTGGGAGAGGGGATGGGGGACACTGGGTGCACTGGGTCATACTGGTGGCTACTGGGATGTACTGGGAAACCATGGGAAGATGTGGGAGGGTGCAAGGGCGAGTTTGGGGTTACTGGGAGCTACTGGGACATACTGGGCTGCACTGGTTTATACTGGTCCATACTGTTCTATACCGGTCCATACCAGTCTGTACTGGTCAATACCAGTCTGTACTGGTCCATACTGGTTTATACTGGTCCATACTGATCAATATCGGTCCATACTGGTCTGTACTGGTCTGTACTGGTCCATACCAGACCATACTGGTCCATACCGGTCCATGGTGTTCTATACTGGTTTATACTGTTCCATACCAGTCCGTACTGGTCCGTACAGGTCCGTGCTGGTTTATACTGGTCCGTACNCGTACAGGTCCGTGCTGGTTTATACTGGTCCGTACTGGTCCATACTGGTTTATACTTGTCCATACCAGTCCATACTGGTTTATACTGGTCCGTACCAGTCCATACTGGTTTATACTGGTCCGTACTGGTCCATATCGATTTATACTGGTTTATACTGGTTTATACTGGTCCATACCGGTCCATACTGATCTGTACTGGTCCATACTGGTTTATACTGGTCTGTACTGGTCCATACCGGTCCATACTGGTTTATACTGGTTCATACTGGTTTATACTGGTCTGTACTGGTCCATACAGGTCCATACTGGTTTATACTGGTCTGTACTGGTCTGTATCTGCCCATACTGGTTTATACTGGTTTATACTGGTCCGTACCGGTCCATACTGGTCTGTACTGGTCCATACCGGTCCATACTGGTCTATACTGGTCCCCAGGAGCTGGCCGAGCTCCCGGATTTCCCCAAGCTGCGGTTCCGGCCGCGGGCGCCGCCGCCG